CCACAATTAATACCACTGGCCCCCAGGTTTTGTTATTATTATTAGCTTACATTTTTAAAAAATATTTAATTTTCAGTTAGGTACATAAATTTAAAATCATAAACTGAACATAATAAAAAATAAATAAATAAAATCATATACTATGTAAAGTAATTCCCTAAGTTAAAAATATTGCTACTTTTCCACTTTCAAATTTCATGAAACAATTTATCCAAACTCTTTGTATGCATCTTAATTTGTGTCTTCACCATTAGGGCCAATTTTGAGTCCCCTAAAACTGTTTTCCAGATATATTAACTAATAAGGGTAATTTTGGCTGCTGTACAAATGAACCTCAGGTTCTCAGAGGCTTATCCCAATGGACATTTCTTTCTCATTCATCTAATACTCCAATAGGGATGTCCCTCACTTGTGGCGCCTGATGGCTCAGTTGGTTAAGCGTCCAACTCTTGATTTTGTTTTAAGTCATGATCTCAGGGTTGTGAGATAAAACCCGACATCAGGCTCAGCACTGGCCATGGAGCCTGCTTTAGATTCTCTCTTTTCCTTTTCCTCTGCCCCTCCCCCCCTAAAAAAAAAAAAAGAGAGAGAGATGTCCCTGGCCATTAGGAGGTGACTCACCCATGGTGTAATTTGGGGACCAAGGTTCCATCTTTTTAAGGTCTATAGTAAGGCTTTAACTGCCATAGATACACTAGTGATTCCTCTTTTTTTAAAGATTTAATTGATTTTTTTGAGAGAGAGAGAGAACATGAGCCAGAGGAGGGGCAGAGGGAGAGGGAGAAGCAGGCTCCCCGCTGAGCAGGGAGCCCGATGCAGGACTCAGTCCTAGGACCCTGGGATCATGACCGGAGCCGAAGGCAGACGCTTAACTGACTGAGCCACCCAGGTGCCCCTAGTGATTCCTCTCTGATGGATTTGGGCAAAGTATATTGAAAGGATTCACAATTTTAAATCCATAAGAACATTCATGATTCAGGGGAAGAAGTCAAAATATCAACATTAACAGAAGTTTGGAAGAAGTTGATTCCAAAGCCCTTGTGGATGACTTAGAGGGATTTAAGACTTCAGTGCAGATGTGGTAGAAATAGTGAGAGAACTAGAACTAGAAGTGGAACCTGAAGATGGGACTGACTTGCTGCAATCTCATGATAAAACTAATGGATGAGGAGTTGCTTCTTATGGATGAGCAAAGAAAATGGTCTCTTGAGATGGAAACTACTCCTGGTGAAGATGCTGGGAACATTGTTGAAATGACAACAAAGGACTGATAATATCACATAAACTTAATTGTTAAACCAGCAGCAGGGTTTGAGGGGATTGACTCTAATTTTGAAAGAAGTTCTACTATAGGTAAAATGCTATCAAACAGCATCACATACTACAGAGAAATCATTTGTGGAAGTAAGAGTCTGTCAATATGGCAAACTTCACTGTTGCCTTATTTTAGGAAATTGCCCCAGCCGCCCCAGCCTTCAGCAACCACCACCCTGGTCAGTGAGCAGCCATCAACACTGAGGCAAGACCCTCCCAGCAAAAAGATTACCACTTGCTGAAAGCTCAGATGATGGTTAGCATTTTTTTTAGCAACAAAGTATTCTTAATTATAGACATAACACTATTGTACACTTAATAGACTACTATATAGGATAAACATAACTTTTATATGCACTGGAAAACCAAATAATTCATTTGATTCACTTTATTCTGATATTTGCTTTATTGTGGTGGTCTGAAACAAAACCCACAATATCTCCAAGAAATGTGTGTAGTCACTTGGTCCCACCTACATGCAAGGGAATCTGGGAAATGTCACTTTTCAGCCATAACTCTATTATATGTAAAGAGAATCATGAATTTTGATAGACTATTAGTCATCTTTGCCGTATCATCTTGAGATAAAAGATGCTATTACTGGGAAAGTCATCCCAGGGTATAAGTAGTCATTCACATAATATTCGGAAGTTTTTAAAAACATATCTCTAAATGAATATTTGTGGTTACTACTGTGTATGTGGCTTTTAAAAGCGAAGTTTTTTTATTTTTATTTTTTTTAAGATTTTATTTATTTGAGAGAGAGGGAGACAGCGAGAGAGGGAACACAAGCAGGAGGAGAGGGAGAGGGAGAAGCAGGCTTCCCGCTGAGCAGGGAGCCCGAAGCGGGGCTCAATCCCAGGACCCTGGGATCATGACCCAAGCCGAAGGCACATGCTTAATCACTGAGCCACCAGGCACCCCAAAAGTGAAGTTTTTTTTAAAGATTTATTTATTCATTTTAGAGACAGAGACAGAGCACAAGCAAGAGGGGCAGAGAGAGAGGGAGAGAATCTCAAGCAGACTTCGCATCTAGCGCCGAGCCCGAATGGGGGCTCCAATCCCATGACCACGAGATCATGACCTGAGCCGAAACCAAGAGTTGGATGCCTAAACAACTGCACCACCCAGGTGCCCCTGAAAGTGACATTTTAGAAGACTTGTTTGCAGTTGTGAGGTTACTACCCCAAGAATGATCACTAAATCCTACTATCGTTTCTCTCCTGCCTCTTTGGCAAATAAGTCCATAAGGCCCTCATACTAGTTTTATAAGGTTGGCACACACCTTGTTTTTTCAAATAAAGTATCAAATAATGAGGGAGTATAAGGACTTAGGTATACACCCACACTCTCTTTCTGAGGTGTAATTTTGACAAAGTCTGGATGTATATTTAAGCACATGTGTTAAATATTGCTCAGTTCCAGGTTTATTGCCTGGATAAGGAAAGCAGAGATACCTTCATTCAGAGGAAAACCTAAAAGAAATCCTGAGAGGAAAAGAGAAAATGAAGCAAATGAGAATCATGAAGGGGAGAGAATAAGAGAAGGAAAACCCAATACCCTTCCTGCCCCCCACTTCTTACTCAGAGGCTCATCAGATCACCCCAATTCCCCCAACCATCGCCTCTCAGCTCCCTCTCCAATTAAGTATCCTGGTCCCCACCTCTTTTGCCCCTGGTTATCTAACAAACCAGCCCTCCCATTTCCACCCTCTGAATCTGGCCAACCTGCCCCAATCTCCCCACTCCCACACTTAAGTTAGCTAATATCTACTCCTGTAAATTCTTCTCCTCTTAACTTGTGTCTTCTTAACTTCTTTTTTTTAAGATTTTATTTATTTGAGAGAGAGAATGCGTGCATGGGGGGGGGGAGGAGCAGAGGGAGAGGCAGGCTCCCCGCTGAGCAGGGAGCCCAATGCGGGGCTTGATCCCAGAACCCTGGGATCATGACCTGAGTTGAAGGCAAATGCTTAACCGACTGAGCCACCCAGATGCCCCTAACTTCTTAACTTCTAACTACAGCTGACATAGGCCAGGTGGAAAATAATTCAATGGCAGTTCAACAACACAGAACTAACAGCTCCGTCTTCTACCTTCCTCCACCAGGGAGTACTTCGTAGAGATGTACTACCGGAATGAGACCCAGCATGAACCATACCCCCTCACATTGCCAGGCTGCACTCCCAGCTGTTCTCTGACGGAGTTTGCTGAGCTGGTTGCCCCTGTGATCCCCCAAGACTGGTCCACGGAGTGTATGCCCACCAGCAATGACCAAGGTACTGGGGATGTTATGGATTAGAAAGGCAGAGTACCCTTTCTCCAGGCAGATGGTGGCTTTGAGAATATAACTCGGCCATCACCCCCAGCTTTGAAGGAAATGGGCTTGGGGTGATAATTGTCTGTTTCAGGGACCCCCAATTTCAGTCAACTCCTACCTCTCCACCAGGTCCTGCCCCCACTTGGCCTAAACTTTGACTTGGTTTTTTCAGTGTTAATAGAAAAAGACGTGTCAAAAGAGAATCAGAGATAAAGTTTAGATCAAATTTCATGGGGCTGCCATGAGCTATATGATTGGCCACATAGAATGTTTTGGGTTTGTTTGTTTTTTTTTAAGAACTCCCAGCTATCACTTGAGCAGGATTAAATGAGGTCGTTCTTTAAGTGTCGGAAGTGAAACAGATTTCAAACAAAATCCACAATCTAGAGTGAGAGCAAGGAAGGGAAGAAGTTAATCCTAGGCAGATGGGCAAAGGACCACCTTATCTATTAGTTCCAGCTCTTCTCACAAGGAGAGGCAGAGAAATGGATACAGTGGAGCGATCCAGAGAAATCATCTACACTGGGAAACTGGTACTATCTTTTTCTACTTATGTTAAAACGTATTGGGTAGGAAATCTGAAAAGTAAATACCTCTTTGTGTCCTTTAGCCCTGGAAAATCCATGTTACTTTTGAAGAAACCAAAAGCAAACTTGCCAGAAAACTTTGCTGTCTATAATATATACGGCAGCTCTTGGAGCACAAACATCCTAGCGAATAAGTAATTTTATTTAGGTGCACAACACATCAGAGATGAGAGCCCTACGTCAGTGGTTTCTCTTGAAGATGGTAAGAGATGTTGACTCTGGAGTTGATTTAAGAGAGAAAGTACGATGACACATATCAGACTGGAACAGAATTAGAAATGTAAGAATGTTCTAAATGCCTCCAAGATCAAAACTCACTGGAATGTCGAAGGTATGGCTGTGTGATAGCTTTTCTGGGGACAAAAGGGATGTGTAAGGCTTTGATCCTGAGACCTTCAGAAAACCTAAGCAAGCTCACAGTTCCTGCGGAAACTACTCACTGTACGAGAAGAAATCGTGTGCAAAGGACACTCTTTAGAGTCCTGTAGATTTGCCAGGTGGCAGATGCAACACGTCTAGAGAACACCGTGCCACGTTACTGTTACAGATAAAGATGAAATGGTTTCTAGAGATGGTTTCTACTGGATGCCAGAGTCCAGAGCAAAGCCATTCCCTTGCCTAGTGGGTTATGGGATGACTGACATTAGACAGTGATTCATATATTTATTTGTATTATTTTTTTCCCAAGTAAATATTTGCCCCAGCGCTACCATCTAATTACCCTTCCTCCCCCGTGCATGTACCTTTCCTCCAGCAATAAGCCAAATGTAAAAGAGTGAATAAAGTCACTAGTAGGGAGTTCGAAAACATTACTTTTATAATGAACTGTGAAAAATGTGTGTGTGTTTAATTAGAATAAAATCCCGGAAGGACAGATTTGAGGGGTTCTAGTTTTGTTTGGGGATTTTATTTTAATGTAACCAGAGGGAAAATATTAATGTAAAGTAAAAATGATTTTGACTGGCTTAGATGAATATTTTACATTGAAAATGTATTTAGTTTGGACTTTACTGCTTCAGAAAAAGGCTAAGCTGATGGATGGCTCTACTTCATCTACTAATAGGGAACTTGCGAGAAAACACCCTTGGAAAATGTACAATGTAGCGGGGAAGCAAAAAGATACAGATTACACAGAATAACAAGGCTTATATCTTATGACTACAAGGGTTGCTAGGGGACAAGAGTTAACTGGATTCAGAGGGAGGGAGTCAGTAAGGAATGGCACAAAAGGCTACCTGTAAGAGGTAAGAGCTGCACCATCTGAAATCAGTTTGGATGGCGGTTTCTAATGGTTTGGTACAAGGTACTAGAAAGCCATTTATCAAATGTCTTAGTGGCTTGAACCTGGAAAGGATAGGGGAGTTACTCAGCAGAAGATTCTGGGTCGGGGCACCTGGGTGGCTCAGATGGTTAAGCATCTGCCTTCAGCTCAGGTCATGATTCATGGGATCGAGCCCCACATCGGGCTCCTGGCTCCCCAGGGAGCCTGCTTCTCCTTCTCCCTCTGCCTCTCTCCCTGCTCATGCTCTGTCTCTCTGTATCTCTGTGTCTCAAATGAATAAATAAAATCTTTAAAAAAAAAAAAAAAAGAAGAAGAAGAAGAAGATTCTGGGTCCAAGGAGATTCCCACAGGTTTCCCTCAAGGGGCCAATTCTAATAAGATAAAATATCATCTCCACAAAAGCAAGGATGTTTATCTGTTGTGTTCTCTCTTATATCTGTCCTCAGAAATACCTGTGCCTGACATGGATTAGTGCTCAATAAATATTTGCTTGAGGAATGTATAAATTACTTACCTTTCCTCCCTGAACCTACTGTCTTGTCTCTATCTTGATTAGTAGTAATCCCCAGTAACCCGGGAGTTACTTTGAATCTCATCCTCTCCTTTATTCTCCATAGCCAATCCATCACCTCCTCTTATCAAACCTATGTGTAGAGTGTTTATAAAATTCTTTTCAAGACACCAGTATCAGGGCACCTGGGTGGCTCAGTGGGTTAAGCATCTGCCTTCAGCTCAGGTCATGAGCCCAGGGTCCTGGGATCGAGCCCCACATTGGGCTCCTTGCTCAGCGGGGAGCCTGCTTCTCCCTCTACCCCTCACCCCACTCGTGCTTTCTCTCGTGCGCACTCTCTCTCAAATAAATAAATAAAACCTTCAAAAAAAAAAAGATACCAGTATCAATAACTCAGTATTCAAAAAGAGTGAAACTAATTACAAAATACGTCAATAAAAAGAAAACTTAGGGATTGTGCTGGAGCCAGAGCTTACCAACCTCAGGAGTGGAATGTGCACATCCCTTCCCAACTCTGAATCCAAAGACTTGACTTCAGCAGTGTGAAATTGGTCATGGTGTCAGAGCAGGAGCATTTTCACCACAGAAATCAGCATATGCCACAAATCAAAGTTTTATTTTTTGTGTTTTTGATCCAGTTTACTAGCACACCACTGGTTTTAGCTCATAGGGAGCTTATTAAGAGTCTATAACATGAGGGGCGCCTGGGTGGCTCAGTCCGTTAAGCGGCTGCCTTCGGCTCAGGTCATGATCCCAGGGTCCTGGGATCGAGTCCCGCATTGGGCTCCCTGCTCAGCGGAGAGCCTGTTTCTCCCTCTCCATCTGCCTGCCACTCTGCCTACTTGTGCTCTCTCTCTCTGTCAAATAAATAAATAAAATCTTAAAAAAAAAAAGTCTATAACATGAGGTGGTCTCCAACAAAGTGAATTCAATAACTGAACTCCTTTAAGGAAAAAGGATTAGATTTGTTCCGTGGTCTCAAAGAGTGATGCTTGGGGCAGCAGGTAAAAATTTCAGAAAGACTGTGATCAGTGTTGGGTAAAAATTTCAGAAAGACAGACTGTGATCAGTGTTGGGAAATTCCTGGAACAGGAAGTCCTATTTGCCTTGACAGAGACACCATTAAGCAGGCCAAAGTACACAAGGTTATAGGCATTGAATGATTCCTTAGTAGGGCCACAAAATTTAGCAAATAAAAGTATAGGGTGCTCAGATACATTTGAATAATAGCTTTAACTGCTGGATTTTTATATGTTGGGGGGGGGGAAAGATGGTTACAGAACATTTCGGGTGTCCTGAGAAAGCCAATACAGAAAGCAGGACAGACCATTAAATACAGGACAAATCTTGGACATGCAGAATGCCTGGCAACCCCGCCACCCATGAAATCCTACCCATACCTGTAAGCAGTGTTATTCACCAGTTCTAGTAGACCCAATCAATTTCATTCTCCTATCAACTAAATTAAGCAGAATCTTTGCTGGGAAATTCATAAGTCTAAGTTCCATACTATGTTACTTGAAAATGATAAAATTCTTTCTTTAGAAAATACGTCCTTGGGACTTTCTTGGGTGGCTCTATTGTTAAGCATTTGCCTTCAGGTCAGGTCATGATTCCAGGGTGCTGGGATCAAGCCCCGCATTGGGCTCCCTGCTCTGTGGGAAGCCTGCTTCTCCCTCTCCCTCTGCCACTTCTCCTGCTTCTCTCTCTCTCTCTCAAATAATTAAATAAAATCTTTTAAAAAATTTAGAAAATACTTCCTTAATTCCAAAATTTTACTGATACTGTCAGACTTTCTTTGCTAGCCGTCTCCCAAACCCTCTCTCAATCTCCAACATCACATATTTAGTGGGAAGGAGAATTAGTGGTGGGAAGCTCTAGTTTCCCCTTATAATCTTTGTAAAGCTGAGACTCTGCAGTAAATATGCACATGCCCAAGGCAAGATCCAGACCTTTTTCCTCCTTGACTCTTCAGACAATGCCTAGAATCTGGTACCTTCAGTCAAAATTTACTAATTGAATAAATGTTCAGCCCTGGGTTGTCTGGGTGGCTCAGTTGGTTAAGCGTCCCACCCTTGATTTCGGCTCTGGTCATGATCTCAGGATTGTGAGATCCAACCCCAAGTTGGGCTCCCTGCTCAGCAGGGCATCTGTTTAAGATTCTCTCTCTCCCTCTCCATCTGCTTCACCCACCACTCTGTCTCTCTCTCTCTAAAAATAAATACGTTAACCTTTAAAAATAAATAAATAAATGTTCAGCCCTTCATACTTAGCCTGACCTCTTCATGGCTGGACCCAGATATCAGAAGCCTAGAACCTAATTGTCAATAAATAGGGGAGAAAAGCTATTAATGAGCCTCAAATGTGACTGTACTATAAAGACCCAGTCACTGACTACATATACATATGTATATGCCAATTTGTCTGTGTTATATGGTTGTTTTCCACATAGTTACCTTGGCATTCTCTTGTTCCCCCATTGCTATTTAGAGCCCCTGTTCCATGATACCCCTTCCAGCACTTCCCCTCCCTCAGAGAGAAGGCCAATTACAGCACCTGTTTCTCATTCTTGTTGCCAC